GTTGGAGCTCTGTAAGGAAGTGGCAGATTTCTTCCGGCTGTGTATTTTTAAATTCTTGCGCACTCGAGCTGGTTTCTCCAAAATTACCTACCCCACCTTTAAGCTACATGGAAAGATGACAATATTATGACCTAAATAATACAGATATTAAAATACTGAACTAACTGGAGATGAAGTGTACAGGTTAAATTGTTTCCACTTTAAAAACAAACTGAACCAGAAAAAACTACAATTTTCCCTTTTTGAAATTGTAAATCTCCTCTTTAATGTTTAGAAACCTAGAAAGTGTCCCTCCTGGAAAGATAATGTGTTTAGTGACTGATGGCAGGTTGAATTACATGTTGCATGCAGTCCTTTGACACAATAGGACATAATACATCTCCTGCTGTCTTTATAATACTGTGAGCAAGGTCTATAAACAATCTCTAATGTATATGCAAGTGTGTTAAATAATTGACTTTAACAACAACATACTCTCTCCAACAGACACATTATATTTAAAGGGGAACTCCACTGTTTTCAAACATGAAGGTTGATTCAGTTGAATACAGTACTCCATAACGCCAGCAGGGCCAGCAAGATCCAGCCTTTTTGGACCCATAGAAGTGACTGAAAGAGATGATCTAAGCCTCTGCTGTGTTTATTCTGGTTCTTATGTTTCCCCAAACTTTATCGAAGTGCACTAAAACACTAAATCTCAGTAATGCCTCCTCAAATGAAATTGAAGCAGGTGTCTCTCCTCAGATTACAGTGGAGGAGCAGTACGTCTCGTAAATGGGTTTTTCTTTTCTGGAAGTTGATCTACCTCAGAGGCTTGGAGCAGCACTATAAACTGAAACAAGGTCCATCAGGTATCAGAAGCCTTGCTGTGAACTTGAGGGAAGCAGTCTGTGGTTAATAAAGTATTGAAAAGTCCCTCACAGCGCCACCATGTCCCAAGAAAAAAAAAATATGTATATACTATTACACTGACAAAACTGCTTAGACTGTATGTGCCATGTCTGTTACCTCCCTCTTACTAAGTGTGTTTCATTTAACTTAAAATGTTTAATAATGAAGAGGCTTGGGTGTGTAATGCTTGTATGAAGGTGTTAAAAAGGATAACATACTGGACTCAAAATGGTGGTTTCTATTAATGGTGAATGTGGTGAAACTGAAATAAAGCCTGTCTCTGCTGGTGATCAAAATGTCAGAGCTGGATGTTTATTGCAGTAATTTTCTGCTACATTTATCTCATTTTTAACCTATCTAAAAACCTATCCAAAAACTTTTTAAAGCAATGCTTATTTTTAAGAACAATTTTAACAAACTGATCAGCATCACTACAGTTCATGAAAGACGATATTGTCTTTTCAAGTGATAATTTTAAATATTTGATGTGATACAAGCCTTAATTATGTGCCATAAAGGACAATTACACAGTTGTGTTGGATCTATTGATGCATTCCCACACTAGCGTTGAAATTCTTTGATCATGTTATAAGAAATGCTAAATGTTTATTTATTTCTATGAATTAAAAAAAAAAGAGTTGTGTGGGATGCCTAAATGTATATACTTTCTTAAAAACAGCAACTTCATAGGCTGGCTGGACTCTTTTGTAGGCTTGAGCTGTTATGTGTAATACGTATAAACAAAGTCAGTGTTAATGTAATCACAGAAAGTTTGCTATTAGCTGCAAACTTCCTTTGGTGAGAAAAATGCAGAAACAGGATAAACTAAAAGCAGAAGCAGAACACACCCTTCTGTCTAATGTGGTCATCCACAATGTTCGAAAACACATTCAAACCACCAGGAAAACCATCCGTCAGTTAAAGAGACACAATATATTTCAAAATGACTTCCCCTGTGCGAGCTGCATGTCACAACGGACAGCGTGTGGTAATGTGGAGATGATCAGCACACACCTTGGACTGTGTAACCATCCTTTAGTGTCAGAGACATCGGGGTGTTGATCAACAGCAGACGTATGGCGTGAGAAGACGGCCATCATGGAGAAAGATCAAAATGACTGAAGCAGAGGATCATGGGAGTCCTGAAAACGAAATAGTGGCATTTTATATAATTACATTTGAACAGTTAAATAACAAAGCATGAATGATTGGCATTCTTACCTGTTAAGTAACTTGTAGTGAAATCTTGTTTCGGGTCAAAGTGATACAGGGCAGAAGCAGTTTTCACACCATCATTCTGCTTCTTGTACACACAGAGCAGTAGTATGTTCAATACTACCTTAAATACAAGAATGACTGTAATGATGCATGTCAAATCACATATAAAGAGGCAACTACAATATGAGTGGGCAAACTATAAAATATGGTAAGAGAGAGAAGTCGAAACAGTAATAAAATATAAAGACAAGTCAATAACTTTGGAATTAATCCCATTTTTGCAAAGTTTAAAATTCAAATGCATGCCGATATGTTGTCAGAGAACTTTTGATTTAACCTCTTAATTGAATTAATTGTTCTTGCTCATGGTGATAGACCTTCTACAACTTTTAGTTGAAGTAGTCAAGTACTTTTTTTCAGAGACACATAAACAGAGAACACAGAAATCCTCATGTTAGTAGGAACTGACGATAATATCATGAAACAAATGATATATACAGAAATCCCTGAGCCATTTAATGTATCTGTAATTAAAGTTTATAGTCTTAAACACAGTGTATTTTAACATGCAGCAGCAATGATCAACTGTGCTATTAAATAACACACTTACGTGATGGTGTCATCTAGTGGTACAATTATGCAAGTGAAATAAATGTCTGGCAAAGACCTTTATTGTAAAATTAGGTTTCATCACATCACAATAAACATTTGAGTTCTCAGAGTGGATTACTGGTTAACTGTACAACATACTGAAGGTTAGAAAAGGGAAATATTGTGTAAAGAAAATAAAACCAAAAATAAAAAGGTGAAACACAAATTCTAACCGAGACAGTTTTGTTCTCCAGATTTCTAAATACATTGAGCTCACTCAAACACAACAAAAAGCAGATAAAATAAAATCCTTTAAAATGTACATCATTTTTCTTATAAAAACTATTCATTTTATCACAAGTAAAAAGCCAGAAAAAAATCTATAGACCCCTAAAAATCTAAATAAGTACACTGAAACGACATAAAAGGTAAAAACGTTAAAAGTTGAAACCAATTGGGACATGTTAATCGTCAAGATGTAAACACATTTACAGAGAATTGTTTATCAACTTGACTTTCACATCTGCAAGTTAAATTCTGTACACTCTAAGGCACTTGTGGCAGCCACAATGTGTAATACATGAAAAGGCACGTTACATATCATCTGTGCACCTCTTCCCTGATAAGTATACTTATACATTCAGCATTCTAGTTTAGTGTAAATTATGCAACATCAAAAAATCAGCACATCAAATTAGCAGTGTATTCATATTTACAGTCTCAGAGATCAACTGGTCCATCATGGGACAGGTTGCTCCTGTTAATGTTGGTTTTTACACCACAAGGCTCTCCCTGCTCACAGCTCCATTCTGCAACACAAGGAAAAGGCTCATTTAAATATGAGGAACAACAAATAAATATCCAAATTTGATTGGAGGTTGGTGATTTTATAGATTAGATAGGAATGAGCTTTACAGAGCTTTGACTAAACAGGTATGAGTAATACCAGTTTAGTCAAAGCTCTGTAAAGCTCTTTCCTATCTAATGTTTTTAATGTTTTTCTGGGATTTGTTGATAAGGATCAAATTAAATATGAACCGACTTCAGCTGTAGCCTAAGAATCTGCACAGAAGTCCCAACTTGGATTATAAAAATCCTACATTTTTCCTTTTGCCTTTAAAAATGTCACCGTTACAGATTGTGGCTCCTGCTTAAAAGGAAAAGGTAAAACATGTTGAAGTCCTCTTTATAGTTTACACGTTTCGCTTGTTGTAATGTTTCCTCCTGCTCATGTACTTTCATCAATATCAGTGATGGGGACAAATCCCAAAAAAACCTTACATGCAAAAAAATATGAGGCTTAAGCTTTCCCAAGTTATTCAAATCAAGTAGATATCTTCAAAAGTTACGGTTGTTTTAGTATAAAAAGGTATTATTTCTGTCCACTCACTACAGCTCAACACGGAAACACAAAAAGGGGATTGTAAATATATAAACTGTAACTTTAGATTAGGATATTCAGTGGATTTCAGTAGCTCTGAAGCCTCAGATAAACATCACGTAAGTCAAAAACAATTTGAATTACATTAGGAAATTGCATCTTAATGGAAAATATGAACAAGAGGAATAATCAAAGCAACCAAAACTGGTTTCAGTGTTAAGTTCGATGTTATATCTGCTTTGAAAATAAACTTGAAAGATGTGAAACTATCCCCCGAGTCATCCTGAAGCTCACAGTGCTTTCTTGTGAATGTACAGAGTTGTGCTGTGACTCACCTTGCGGAGGTTGCTTTTCTTTGAGGATGACATACTTTCATCGTCACTGTACGGTGGCGGTGCAGGCGGTGGGTAATCGTCACGGCGGCCGTGGTGTCCGGAGGCCGGGACCTGGGGGAGTGGGGGGGGCCCGCGCGGCACCCTGCCCCGGTCCGAGCGGTCGCTCTCGCTGTCCAGGTGCTCCCGGCTGCGCGCCCTCTGCTGCTCGCCCATCTTCTTCCTCTCCATGGCCTCTCGCAGGAAGTTGTCATCATAATCTTCTCGCCTCCCCCTGGCGTTTCCTTCAGGGCGGCGATCTCTCTCCAGGGCCATCAGGTCGTCACGGCTGCGACTGCGTCTCCCTGGGAGGCCGCCGTAGCCACCGCCGCCTTGTCCTCTCCCACGGTCTTCTGGGGAGTAGTCACGGCGCCGGCGGTCTTCGATGTCGCGGTTGTTGCCGCTTCGGGCGCTGCTGCTCCACCCGTCATCCGAGCTAGAGAGACAGAAAAAAGCACACATTGAGAGGAGGAAGAAACGTATAAAATATGATGCTCCGCCATTAGAGCTAAATATACTGTAGGTTAAACCTCAGTGTTGTGTTCTCCGTTCCAGCTTAAACTGTGCCATAGGTTTAGCTTTAATGCAGATTCTACGTCAATCAGATCAACTACTGTACCTGTGCTGCACCTCAAAGCTAAGCTATACTGTGTAATGTGTGCAGCATTATATAAGGCTACTCAATTCAATGTGACATAGTTAAACTTTACTTAAACTAAAAGACAATTACATTCTCTAAGGAAGGTGCTCATTTGTTGGTGTTATGCTTAATTCTCAAAGTGTGTCCCCTGTATTAGATCGGTACATTGGATCACCTAGGAAAATATATGAATATATTATGAAAAAGAAATTCATAAAATACTGTTTGGACTGTTCAGCTGTAATGGAAACTTGATTATATGAAAAAAATCTGTGAATATAGCCTCTAACGCATTTGGAATCATTAAATGGTTTAAACAGATATATGTGGTTGTAATACCTGCAACACGATAAGAACTTGTATTCTAAATTTGGACATTACCTATCCAGAAACAAACCTTCCTGTACCAGCACAGCAGAGCCAACATGGTTGAACATTACTTTAATAATTGCACAATCCCAAATGATATCCAGTTGAATGTTAATAATCACCCAGATGTTAAAACCTGCTCCTGAAACAGTGCCTGTGTGTTTCACTTTGAACCAGCCGTGTATGAAGTGACTGCGATGACCCCAGAGACCTGTTGCCTTGATACTGTTTGTGCAGTTTCTTGGCTGGGAGCAGCAGAGGGGCCGTCCTCCTACTTTGCAGCACCCGGACAGAGTTCCTGAGATATTTAGCTAATCCTGCCCACACTCAGGGGAGGGGGCCTCTCTTCAACAAGAGAATTGTGTCTTTGACCTCACATTAACCACTGCTTTACACAGAATCATACACCACTGATTCTGACTTGAAAACCTCATTGTTACTTTACTTTCTATATACCTTCTATTATTGATAGGTTTGGTTTAAATCCCAGGAACTAGTCTTAAAACTGTAAAACGACAGAGAATAATTCGAAAAACATGCAAAACACACATAACAATAATTTCCTAATCCAGCCTGGATCAAATACAAGAAAAAGAGTTTAAACAAGTGTTCACAAGTCAGTGCCTTTAACAAAAAAAAAAACAAAGGAGGCCGTCCCTGTTTTAGTTCACACGCTCTTGATAATTATCTTATCTAGAGAAACAGAGACACACTCCACTCCAATGTCTATTATCAGCTTTGGCTAGCTTTACTGGTCGGATGGTGACAACATGACCACAAACAAGAACCGCAAAACATTTCAAATTGTGTTTTGCTTTTCAAATGATTATTCTGCTTGGTGCGAAAAGCTTATTTATTGGCTCCGTTATATCCAATTTGAAGTAAATGTGAACAGTCTTCAATTCTTGGAGTCAAAGCTCAGCGACCCAAGCGAGACCCTATAACCCCAATGTTCTGAGATTCAACCAAGGTAAATAAAAAGAACTCCAGGTCCTGGTGACAATAAGGAGATGTTGCTCATTGAGACTCACCCTCTCCTGCCTCTGAACTCGTCTGGGCGGCGGGGCGGGGGGTCATCGCGGCCGTTGCGCCACCCGATGTCGTCGAGGTTGTCCATGGAGCGGGCACGCACACGGTCCCCCATGTACCCTCCACCTTGACGCGGGTAGTTGTCGCGGCGCTGGCCTTGCTGTGAAACACTGCTGATGGTGCTCATGGCTTCATCCCTGTCGTAAACCGTGGCCAGAGGTGCAGGCTGGGGGCGACCCCCGTGTCCCCGAGGGTCCAGGCCGTCGTGCAGGGAACTGACTTCGGTCATATTATCCACTTCAGGGGAAACAGAGACAATTGTTAGGTGATGCTATTAATTGAAGTATTCATATCGTATACTGCAACTTGTATTCATGCATTTTATACCCGTTTGATTCTATATTAGCTTGTTTTATGTTTATTTCATTCGGTTTGCTTTTTGATTGTTTTGAAATGCCATTTTATGATGTCGTATCTCGTAATGCTCCTTATGTTTTTTTTATTTTTGTAAAGTACTTTATATTGCCTTATTTTGAAAGTTGCTATATAAATAAACTAGCCTTGCCTTGCTTAAGAACAGAATATGGTGGTGTTTTGGTGAAGGATAAGACATTTAATGTCCCATTAGGACAAAACTCATGTTAAGCCCCTGTCACACTGTCCCGAAATTGACACCCGATGGACACACGATTAAGGAAATGTTCAAATTCGGCTCTGATCGTAAAAACATCGGGCCATTCGTGAGGGCATCTTAAAGGTCACATGTCATGGCAATTTCAACTGATCATAATTCCATTGTTGAGGTATACTAAAATAGAAAAATATTGTGCAATTTTCCAAACTCACATTGGTTTCGCATACAGCATCTCTGTAAAGTATGTGTATTCAGCAGTATTCACTTTCTCCACTAAACGGCTCGCTGCAGCTCCTCCCCCCGCCCCCTCCCCCCCCCTCCGTGATTTCCTTGTTTAGCAATACACAGCCAAACACAGCCAAACTCAACCCGAACACACACAAAGTCACACCCGAAATAAAAACAATAAGTGTGGCTTGATATTGAGTAAGAAAAAGGTTTATAGGTTGATAAACGCTGTGAGAATGGGTCTGCAGAGAGAATTTCGCGCGATCCCAACTGTCTGTTATCAGCCTGCAGCCAGGGAGGAGAGATCAGCAGAGCTGCATGCACTGAGTGTGTGTGGATTGGTCAATTTGGACCAATCAGCGGGGGCTTAACGTAACGGCTCCGCGATCGTAATGTAACGGCTCCACGGATTGGCCCATTTAGTTCCGAAGTGCTTTCGTAAGCACGTACCGGAAGAATCAAATGGATGATGACGTCATGATGACCTTTCTCCAACGAGGCGTTTTGGGGAGGTATTTTCTGTTTTAGAGTTTTACTCGCTACAGGGTGTACTTTGAGGGTTTTGACTCTGCAGACCGTTTATATGCAGAAAAACCTTCATAACACACAAGGGGACGGGTAATAACGGGAAAAGCATGACATGTGACCTTTAAGCCATCGTATGACCGCCGGTGGAGTTTCTCAGGCTCCGGCAGCAACTTCGGGAGCGGTGGCAACATCTTTGGCATCACAAAGCATTGCCGAAGGACCTTGTGAAGGTTCATTTTCGTGTTGACTTCGTGTGTCCATTTTGCCCTTCGTAAGGCATTCGTGAGGGCATCCTTAAGCCATCGTATGACCGCCGGTGGAGTTTCTCAGGCTCCGGCAGCAACTTCGGGAGCGGTGGCAAAATCTTTGGCATGCCAAAGATGGCTTAAGATGCCCTCACGAATGGCCTGATGTTGCTACGATCAGAGCCGAATTTGAACATTTCCTTTATCGTGTGTCCATCTGGTTGTTTTATTGCACAACAAAATCATGTAAACATATTATGTAAATAACCCAATTTGTGTTCTGTGAAACTAAAAATAATATAATATATTATTTTGAAGGCGAGGAAGTTGTTGTTGCTATGGAAACAACATGACGGAGAAAACGTAATATCTTCTACATATAAAGACGGAGAAAGTAAAGAACAAAGTCGGAAAATATCAGTACAGTATCATAATACTTTAACATAATTGTTTGTGTTACTTTCGTTGCAGTTGTATGTCTTAAATGTAATGTAAATGTTGCCTTCGTGTGTGGTTCGGGGCCATCTTCGTGCGAAATTCACAATTCCATATTCGTGTGTCCATCGGGGGTCAATTTCGGGACAGTGTGACAGGGGCTTTACAGATAGCTGGAAAAAAATGATCCCTGAGCTACTAATTTTAATAATTTCTCTAGATGGCATTTTAAACATTAGTAAAATTAGAGCATATGGTCTAATAGACGTCCTAATGGTTGACAAATAGTCCCATATGTTGGCGTTTAGGAAATGTATATTACAGGGAAAAGTCAAAGCAAAGAAAGACTTTTGTTTGCCGCAACAGATCCTAAACTAGACGCTGGCCGTGGCTAAGTGGCTGCCTCTTAACTCTTGACAGCTTTCACCAGAAGTATTATGAGTACACAGTGACTGTGACCAGAGTAGCAGGAAGTGATCAGTCACTCACTGCGGTTGTAGTTTCCGGGTCTGGATGGGTCCATGTTTGCCAGCTCCTTCTCCATATAGTAAATGGCACGTGTAGCATTACCATCGGGGTCTACCTGGATACGATACCCACTGCGAGCTGATGAGAAGGAGAAAGGGAAATCAGATTTGAACATTGGCAGCTTGATGCAGATACACTAAACCAATGTGCTTTGAACATAACTGCAGTCAAGGTGTGGACACAATGGAGTCAGATTCCCCTTTAATACATTAGTATTTTATATATACAGTTTATAAATATATATATATTTACTATTTAAAAAGACATTGTTTTTCCTTTCATGTGCATAAATCCTGGGGGAAATCAGAAAAAAATACCAGGATGATATTGACAACATAATCGACATATCTGTTTCAAAAAGCCACCTAATCTTTTATTTAAAAAGAAAAGTAGTATAACAATGGGATGCAACTCATCTCAACAATTCTAGTAGTGAAACAACAATGGTGAGACATGGAAACTCCTCTTATTATTACAACAGTAGACTTGTGGAAACATCTATAAGTAGGCAGGATTTGTGGTGGCAGGGCTAGAAAAACGTTACTCACTGTTGTCCCCCCCACCGTCTTGGCCATGCAGCAGAGGCACCTGGGAGCCCTGTCCAACTGCAAAGACACAACAAACACATTTAAATTAAGATTTAAGAAAGCTGAACTTAAAAAAAACAAGACACATAACTACGGTCCGAGGTTGGCACACTCGCACATTAGGGGATTTTATGTCATTATGAAACTCAAATGTGTGATTTCTGCTGACTCAATTCCCACACAGACAGAAATGACTAACCAGCCGCTCTTATATGAGAAGTTAAAAGTACTCTTACCAGAGCTAGCGGCATCGTATTCACGACTGTAACCGTTATGGGGAGGTGGGTACCCGGCTCCGTTGGGGACAGGAAGTATGGGCATACCAGGCTGACCGTATCCAGGCTGACCGTACATACTGCGAGCATAGAGGGTGGGAGCATACTGACTCATGGGAATTCCACCTTTCTTCACTGCTTTTCCTGCCTCGTACACTGGGAAATAACAGAGGACAGCTGGTTAGAGTGGAATAAAACATAACTGTATGTTACAGCAGAAATAGCTCATAAGTAACTGCTGAAGGACAAAGCCATTTTAAGGGTCCACTTTAAGAAATAGTGGGAAATACAACTAAATGTTTATTGTTGCAAAAATTAAATTAAAATTATCATATTTGATATGCCTGTCCTTTAGTTTTTGTACAATTTAGCATGTTTAAAATGCAAGTCAGCTTCATAACATGCCCTTGTTTAAAGTTAAAGTCAAGCTTGGTACAGTTTGACATTGTTAAATGTTATCGGAGAGCTTAACCTTATGGACACAGTTGTGTGTGAACATTACTGAAAGACATAGAACATTAAAACCGTTTGAGAAGTTCAGAATAAGTGCTGACATATGTATTTCAAAAAGGATTTAAAAAGTAGATCTGCTGTAAAAGCAGGACAAGAAGTTCAGTTTCATTGGCTTTCCATGTGGTACTCACAGGCCCGTGGGCAGCAGCAGCGCTCGGGGCAGCAGGGGCAGCTGATGTAGCAGCAGCAGGTGTGCGGACAGCACTGACACCAGCAGATCCCGATCAGCAGCAGCAGCAGCAAGAAGCCAAACACCACCAAAACAACCAGGAGCCAGTCTGTGTGGGAAATTAGATAGATTTATATTAATATTTACATCACTAAATCTCCTTTAAAGAGGACATATTATGCGAAATGTAAGGTTCATATTTGTATGTTGTGCCTATACTGTGATATATACATGCTATAAATGCTCAAAAAGTGCTTCTTTTTTTTTTTTTATACTGCCTGTGCATGGGTCAACTACATTGAGTTGTCCCGCCCCTTCGCCTATCACTGGAGCACAAGCCAATAGAAGCGTTGTTCCATAGTGATCTCACTATGTTATGGAAGTAGACAAAGAGTTAAATCCTTTTTGAAATAAATATTTTAGCCTTTGAGTACCATTTTCTTCCACAAAAACCTAAATATCACACTACAGCAAAGGGAAAACCCAAAACGCATGATAGGACCTCTTTAACATGTCAAATAAAGCCAGCATATAAGAAAATATTTTCCTGAACTGCAGAATTATTTGTCAACAGAATTTGTGAGAAAAAAGACATGAGAATGACTAAAGGAATGGGAACTCTTCTCTTTGAACAGAAAAGTTGGATTTTTGTTAAACAAGTGGAAGCTGTCTGTGTTGGTATGAGATATGATGTGTTGCTTCTTGTTTGTAAGTATAAACACAGATTTTATTTATGTTATTGAGTGTTCAGATCAACAAAGCCAGCTGGCTGCGGTGGTAATTTTCAAAGGTGTTGTGAAACCGGTAAAGCAGGTTTTTTGTTGTGCCCAGGAGGGGAAGATTTCACTCTGCGTGTCAGTTCAGGCAGCACATGCCACAAAGCAAAGAAACAAACAGTAATGGTTGGGGGACAAAATGTCAGTTTAAATGAATCAACTCAAATGGAAAACCTTTTTGTTGGAATGTAATATATTCTGTTGCCATGTACACTGATAAGGAAATGTGTGCTCAATGCACCTTTGTTTCAACTAGGCAACTACAGAAAGTCACACATGTGAGCCATATTAAAGAGAGAGAGAAACAGAAGTAGATAAGGAGGGAGTGTGAGGTAGAGAAAGATTGTGTGTAAGTCAAGTATCATACGAGCAGAACAGTTAAGTTTGCCTAACCGCATTATTACCTTCTACCATTCTCGCCCACAACGGGATGTTAGAATGCAGGGCGCTGAGGTTAGATGAGTCATACTTTGTACGAAATCTTTTTGAACTAGGATTATGACCTTTGGCCAGAAATAGTTGTGTATGTCTGAGGCTTTAATTGCTCAAATTCAAACTCACAACCTGAGTGACTTCAAGCAATGCAGCCAGGTGGTTGTGTTTGAAATGCTTCCTTTCATTTTTCATCTATAGCTAGTGCTTATCCTCTCTGTCATACACCTCTACTGTGGGACTACAACATGACTGAGCTATATCAAGGGGTTTGTACTACCTTCCATAACCAGCAAGTCAATACCAGGCAGCAGGTCAGTAGTATTTGACTTTCTCTCTGTGAAAGAAAGATAAAGCCACAATTACTTTAAAGTGGTCTCGGTCAGATTTCTACTGCCTAGAGCGAATTACTTTTAAGACTCTTCCTGCTGGTGGCAAATTCCCCCTCTGTTGAAGGTACTGTACATCTGCCCATACGTCACTAAGTTACGGCCATGTTTATTTTTAAACTCTTAATAAAGTAAAAACCTTTTTGTGTGTGCATGGGTGGAGGAAAGTAAAGATAAGGGGAAGTATAGAGAGGGGAAAAAAACAAATGTGACCACATGAGCTCCAAATGCAACTTACCAAGAACAATTAGCTCTGTGTAGTCTTCCCCGTTTCCGGAAAGGTCCTGGGCGGAGACCACAGAACAGACGTAGACACCGCTGTCGCCCCATGCCGTCTGCGCGATGTTCAGGTCTGCATCTGTGAGGAAAAAAATAGGTCCATGGGTTTGATTTGTTGTCTTAGAGAGGCTATAGTATTATTATTTTTCTATTGTTACAATCATAGAATAATGGGATCATATAATCCTTGTTCAATTGCAGCTTTAGTACAAGAAAAACATACAATAAAAAATATACTCATGCCCATACTGACAGTGTATTGAGCTTGTATGCACTCGTACGGTTTTTCTCATCTCACCTGTGTTTTGATAAATATAACAAGGATAAAAAATGCACTGCTCAAAATCATTTATCTTTTGAATAACGTATTTTATAAACACACTATAAATAAATGTCACGCACATTTTTAAATGAAAAAGGCTATGCTGATCTACACGAGTTTATATGTGTAAATATTGCATAATGCAGACAAACTATTATAATGTGGTTGCATGCGTGTGTGAGAAGTCAGAACACGTCTGAAAGCAGGCTGTGTGAAGTACAGACAAATATCTTTTCAGTTTTCAGTTTCATCGTGACTTGGAGTGAAGATAGGGAGAAATAATAATACGCCTCTGCACTCTACAATGTGATGTCTACAGTTTCCATGTAGCCTGAAATAAACTCATTCTTCACCTAGTAGCAGATCTGGCAGTTTCCCCACCGAAATGTGATGATGCATTACATACATAAGTTTGTAGTAGTAAGTATGAATGCAGATTGTTACCAATTTACAGCTTTTATAAAAGGCCTGTCGTACATTATCATGATACTTTTCATTCTGTCCTCTGGCCCCTGCTACGTCACTGAGCTGTGAACTTTGACCTAGGGGTTAGCTGAGTATCAAAATCACAAGCATGTTTTCTGGCTCGTTGTTTATCTGTGGTTTCAGCACAGTGCACTTATTCAAGTCTCAAGGCTTTTATTATGTGTGCATAGCTACAGTGTTTGTATGACGATGACAATCTTAGGTCACAAGCTCCTCCAACAGTGCAACACAATAACACAGATAAAAGAGTGCAAGTTAATAAAATATAATATAATATAATAGAAACAGTGCAGAATAGTCTATAATATACAGTAATTGGAATATTGACATATGAGTTAAAGCAGTTCCTCCTGCTATCTCCCGCTCAGACAAGCCTGCTCCATTTAGTCCTATCAGATCGCGGCTCATTTGTAAACAGACTCTCACAGCCTAGGTGTGTCCTGTTAGTTAACCCTTTACTGGTTATATTTGAGTTTGTTTAGCAAGAATTGATCACTTTTTTGGAGAATGATTACTACTTAAAATGTGTAAGTGCTCTGCTATGCACCAGGTCTTCGTTTAGTGATGGTGTGAACCTGCACTTTATCCAAGAGCGATCATGCCTTTGTCAATAAAACCCTACACTTTTAAATAAGTTCTTATAAAGAGATCAGGTTGGCAACTTGACTGATAACTGTCAGATCTATGCTACTGTGTTAACCTTACTCTAACCTCATTGTTTTTATGTCTGTTGTGTTTTATTGAGCAGCTGTTATGTAAATTGTGTTTTTTTTTACTAGTATTGATGTTTTTTTAACTTCCTTCAGCCCTGTTAAGACTTTGCAGATTAGCCTTTGAAAAGTGCCAAAGTGGTGATTATGATAAAGAAAGGAAATGTTTCACATGCATGGTGGCAGTATAAATAACCCTGGATAGCTTTTAAAGCTGATGTTAGTTATTAAATTAGAAGGAGATCATTATGTCAGCATTTCTGTCCTATTAATACATTATTTTCTCATTAGCCTACCTCCAAGGTGGGTATGATTCAACGGCCTATTACAAAATATCAACCTGAACGTTACACTGGGCCGTCATAAATCCACCAGCTTCTCTTTTTAAGTTCCCCTTGAGATTACTGCCCCCGCATTTAATTGCACGTATTTACAAAAAGGACGGTGACAAATACATCTTTGAATGTTGAATCTTAATTTAGTCACATTTGAATCATCATATCCAAGCAGATGTACACAGGTATGATAGTGACAAGTCACACAAAGCTCTGACATAGTAATAAAACTAGTGTTTACACGCTTTACAGAGTCAGATAATGACAGAGTAAATGTATTTTAATCACTTACCTTGGCTTGTTTGTCGAGAGGGAAGAAGTATGTTAATTAAAAACTGTTTAAATTGTCATCATTAGCCTTTAAACTTGTGTCATTATAATGACTGGTCATAATGTAAAAATTGGTCATAATTTCATAAAGCCCAATTTTCTCTCTGTCTTGTTATGTCTGACCAACACTAAAACCTCAAAGACATCCAATTGAATATAAAGTCACAACAGGGAAACTCAAACCAACATATATTTCTGTGAAAATGTGAAGATTAAGTGATTATTATCAAAAAAGCTGACAGATGATTTTCTGTTGATCGACTAATCGCTGCAACTTTTCTGTTAAATTAATAAATACTTTTATTAAATTCATCACAACTTATTACTTTTAATAAATTAAAAGTGAAAGAAATGTATACCTGGTATTTACTATATACTGTAGTATACTATGAGATATTAAGTGTTAACTTTGATGAACTTACTGTTCTGGACGCTGATCTTGCGCCCCTGGTAGTCTGAACCGAGGGTAACGGCAGCATTTTGTTTGGACGCCACTATGCGCACCGTCCTCTGGGAATCGGCACACTCGATGTTGGGGTCATAGTTGGGGTTGTTCTGAGACAAGATGCTCTCCGCACTGCTTGGACTAAACGCAGCCTGGATGGGGTCCCGGCAATATGATTTGTACTTCCACGTGACAACAGGAGACTGAGTGGCGGTAGTCTGGTAGTTGCAGTTAAGGGTGACGTCCTGAAAGAGGATGACGATGTATCTCTTGGTGGGGCACTGGACCGAGATGGCCATGGTGGACTCTAGAAAGAAATAGTGGAGAATTAAAAATAAGAGATGGACTGGTAGATAATGATTATTATTAGCAAAATGTTACTGACATTTGATAATTTATTTATGGTTTCTTATTACTCCACAAAACCCCTAGGGTGTGGTATCTGATTAACAGTATTTCCTCACTGCTAGTATCACTGAGAGTGGGTGTAATGAGTCACCTCAGACTGCCTCTGTTTTTCAGCCTGACCATTACATCCAAGTATGAAAGCTATGAATACTTAGGATGCTCTAAAAACAATGTAGTTACAAAGCCAAGACATGTATTACAATCACATTTCTGGTTTGTTTTTCATGGGAATTGTTGACAGTAAGAAAAAACGGATTATTCCCAGCAAGGCATATTTCACAGGAGGTGATCACTTTGCTGTAGTGGCTTCTGTCTGCTGGGACTTCTCTCTCAACCAGCGACATTATAGCACATATAGCATGAGAAACATAAAATGATAGGCAGTGCGATGGTTTTTGACCACCAACCAGAAAATATATCCTAATTATTTCTATTATTTCAAGTTGTTCGAATCTTCTGCAGCTCCAATCTACTAAATAATGGTATATATGCTTATTGGAGTTATGTTGTACTGCCATACAACAAATAAAATACTAACAAATTATTATCAGTTTTAATTGTGAAGGGAGATTCTAGGTATAACAAAACAACTACCCACAAGAACAAACTACAAGTGAAGAAATACTTAGATAATTTACTTTAGTAAAATAATCCTGAATTCAAAATGTTACTTAATTAATTGATAAATCTATCCATCAAAAGTAAAGCTACTAAAATACAAACTGGCTCCTATCAAAATACAATTTTGTTTTGAATCAACAAATGCATGTAATATAAATGTTTGAGTTGTTCAATGAGGAGATAATGTAAGATACCATGTTTACTACAGGGTATTAGTAGGCTACTATGGTACAGCATCATATTCAAGCACGTCACTTGTGTTTTTAGGTAAAAAGTAACAAGTGGCTTTAGGCCTAAGTGTCAAATTGATGTGGAGTAAGAGGTAAAATATCTCCTCCTGACATTGTTTTCTTGAAGAAGAAGCATAGAGTAGAAAACGTGCTTGTACTCGAGTAAAGTGTCACACCAGGTGGTTATATGGTTAACATATGTCATTTGATAATTGTATTCAACATTCGTATACATAGCATTTAATAAACCCTTGCATGCATAGGAACCCTTTCTCAAACTGTGACAAAACTGATATTACCACAAAATAACGACACTGCGAGCGGCTATTTATCAAGGGAATTTTTACGGAAGAGGGCCCACCCTGTTTTGCAAAAAAAGAAAAACAGGCCAACTTACCTGTTGCCACTAAAGCGGCGATGATTAAGGTCCAGAACATTTTGAATCCTCTTTCCTCAAGGTGTCAGTCGACTTATTTTAATATTATTTCCTTAGAGACTTAAATAAAACTTCGTCTTATGCATAATATTGAGCGCAACTGTACTTTTCCTCAGCCAGGTAGTTTCAGCTCCATTTTGTGTCTTTGTAAGTTGTCGGCGAAGGGGAGTACCTGAACGCCCCACGGAAGCAGAACAGCCAACAGGTGAGCTTTCAAATACAGGTTGTAAAACACAGGGGTGTGCAAATGATTTTGGGTTATTTTTTTCATCGACTGTGGATACATTTGACACCAAACACCTGCTAATAAGAGAAACATATCGTTTTATACGGAACCATCCCTTTCTCAACAGATGTTGTAATCGCCCAAATAAAAATGTAACCAATAGACGACCTTTAACCTGCCCGCCAGTTGGTACGACCCAGACACTGATAAGATGTCAAAGCACCATTGTGTGTTAATGTTCAACTCTCATCGTGTGTGTGCGTGTGTGTGCGTGCGTGCGTGCATGCGTGTGTGTGTGAGAGAGAGAGCTGGCGTATGGCCTACTTCCTGTAGGTGCGACGTTATTGAAAACTGCATAGGACCACGTTTATAACAACTTAGAAGTACCTGTACTATAGGCTACTGATTATTCCCATGTTTATTACCTTATACTCCACTTTATTTAATTGACAGCTAGAACCACAGGTCACTTTGCAGATAATGAATTCACCACAAACACTTGTTCCTTTAACTTTAAATAATGACAGAACCATTTGCTGTTCAAAGCAATTTTTATTAAGACAGCGGATACATGTGCATTACGCCATTTTTGCAAAAAGCTCTCTTATTTCTACATTGCTAGCAAGCACAACTGAAACCAGTTTTTAGAGGTGGGAATTCACTAAGTACATTTACTCAAGTATTGCACGTTAAGATACTTGTACTTCAATTGAGTATTTCCACTGTATCCTACTTCAAAACATATATTATTATGAAATGCCATTATATATTACCATTATTAAGAAAACAATCAACAGCTAAATGAATAATAAAATCATTATCAGTTGCATCAGAAATGCCTCCAGTGAGTCCACACACTTCCTCTTTCCTCAGACTTCTTCACTGTTGACGCATTGAAATCCTATTTGAAAAGAAAAAAACATGATTTTAGTGTCAAATGTGAATCTGTTGAGTGAACAATATTCCCAGTCAACTCTGAGCGTCCTTTATTTTTGGAGTTAATATTATAACACTCAGATTAGAGATTTTTTGATATTTTACAGACCTACCTCTTTTTTTGTAGCACTAAAAAGAAAAGAAAAAAAAGCAATTTAAAAAGCGAAATGTGACTTATTACATTTACAAACATTATACATTGTTATCCTTTGAATTTTGTAGAATAGACTTTACTTGGAATATGTAAGACCTAAAATATATTCAATGGCTCGTGCAGAAACTCGATTTGATGTAATTCAGTCTCAATGATTATTGAAAGTTGGGTGATTATTGAACATATTGAGTCAGACTTACATGATAGGAGATCCCCAGCGCTGCCAACACGATCAAAAAGCCTGAAAAATAAAAACACATATAGCTGTCATGTTGGATCATCATGTCAGGCCATTCAGCTTATCAACAACCATATTCAATTGACCTTCAGTGCTATTGTTAAATACATACCAAAGCTACAAATCAATCCAAGATGTGCATTCACAGTTGAATGTTCACCTAAAGAAAAGAAGAAGCAATTCAACTGTTAATAACCGAACAGAAATAATTTAAATCAAAGTAAAATACATCTTTGTTGGTTGTTGTTACCTATCTTAACCTATGCTGCCTATATCGGTTGGTAATAAAAAAGACTGTTTCAATCAAAACTGAAAGTTATAATCTCCATTATGGTAGGATTTGATGCAGGACTGCGTATTAATGTTACTAAAAACTGGTGTGTATTATCCGTCAAGGGGTGAGCCACTTTAAAGAATTACAAACATAGACTGCCTCGGCTAACTTCATAGAAATACGGTTAATGAAATAAGACATTACACAACATGGAAAAGGGCACAGTCATGCAATTTAGCCATACAAATATTAAATTGACGTTTAGTGCTTTGATTAAATACATACCAAAGTTAGAAATCAATCCGCGACGTGTGCTGTCATGCACATTTGGATTTGGTGAGACATTAGACAGTGAGACACTTGGTTGTGAGTTTGTGCCAGGGGGCTGCAGCTTTACACCTGAAGAAAAGAAAGTCATTTAACTGCTAATGAACAAACAGCAATCGTTTGGCTCAAAAGTCAAATACAAAACTGATTAGACAAGACAAGATGCAAGAGAATAGTTGGCTAATTAAGTTAGCTAAATAATTACCTGGCAGAAGCCTTATTTTCTGTTGTTTTAACAATTCTTAAATTGTATATTTTTCAATATGTATTGTATAGTTTTTGCAAAATGTAATATTGTTATTTCAATGCTGCTGGAACATTATGTTTATGCAGCCCCGATGCTTAAAAAACCTCAGTGTGAAACTAGATGTTTAGGAAAACAGCAGAGATCATGTTTAATACAACTGTATACGCACATTTTAAGGAGATGGTGCCAATGTACATTCCATTGCCTTCTACCAGGTTTATTTGTCCGATGTGCTCTGAGCAGAAGATATTGATGGAAGAAGACAGGTCCAGGCACACAGTACAGTTATCACCAGGTGGAGAGATTTCAGAGCATCTTGGAAACTTTGTATTGTCTCCTTGGTAAATCTCTTTGGGATTAAGGTAAACCCGGGAATCATATATTGTCTTCAATTTACTGCATCCGTCCTTGTCCTTGCAGGTATAGCATTTGCCTGCGGTGGGGTGAATGTCTCTACATTTACAATCTTGATCTGCTGAAGAATGAGCCCCATGTCAGAGAGTATATGAGTCTAAAACATTGTGCATTAAAGCAGTTCTCAATGTTCATTCAAATAAAAAATATTTCGGCTCATATTCAATGCAATCAAACCTAATTAAAGAAATACATTTAAGAGTGCTCTGCACATAGTGTTACATTACTAAATCCACTTTTCACAACATACCAGAAGAGCCCTCCGAGACACCAACAGGCATGAATGCAATCACAAGTAGTAACACTGAAAAAAAACAGAGAAAAAAAATGTAGTTTTCCTCATCAAATGGTTGTATTACAGTTCATAAATGAATGCATATACCTGAGACACATAACAAGTATACACTCAGTGGACACTTTATTAGAAACACTACATGCAACACAAAACAATATCCACTGCCATATGGACTGTACTTATATAGCGCTTTATCCAGTCTTTAAGACCCCTCAAAGCGCTTTACATACTACATGTCATTCACCCATTCACACCCATTCATACAGAGCAGTGTACCTTACTCTAGGACCTAACATTCACACACATTCACACACCGTTGGCCATGCCATCGGGAGCAACTCAGGGTTAAGTATCTTGCCCAAGGATACATCGACATGTTGACTGCATGGGCTGGGATCGAACCCACAACCTTCCGGTTGCAAGACGACCATACTTCCTCACAGCCACAGCCATAAAGTTGTGTTGTCTAATAAATCACTTAAACTCTATTTATAAATGACCATTCCAACAAATAAAATGCACTTTAAAGTGCTTTAATAGGACAATTGAGTATGTTAAGAGTAATACATTATTAAAGTATTTTGTATTGTGTTTACAAGAGGAGTTAATTTTATTCTATGTTTTAGTATTGCGGTCAGTTAGTGGATGTGTTGTAATGCATTATATTACATTATAAGCGGAGATGTTTTCTATATTCTGACCCTCTTGTCTAAGTGAATAGAGAGGACAGTAAACATTTGAAACATTTCTTAATAAACGTATAATTGAAGTAACACATTCCTGACAATACCTAAACCTAAACCCCAAACCTTAAGAGGTCTTTGTAATGAATGTATGGAATAGCTGTTGTTTTTAACTGTAATATTTGAATAGGTGTAGGTTTCACATTTTACGGTATGTGCCTATGTATTTACATAATGATAAGAGTAATGATGAGAAATATCCATGATATCCAATTAATTCAATAAAAACTATCAGAGGAAATAAAAAAATGCTTTGTACAGGCGCGATAAAGTAGCCACTGAAAAAACACTGCATATACATGTGCACATTATTCTATACAATTAAAATAACTAAAATTGAAATATATTTTCAAGAAATGCATTTTTAATCATATAAAATGAATACAAATGTAAATGTAATTACCTTTCCAGTGCTTTGAAGCAGTTCTTCCCTTGCTTCTCCCTTCTCTGCCGACCAGCGTTTGACCTTTGGGTGTTTCAGGGATTTCCCCAGAGTCCATCTTAGTGCAGCTTTCATCTCCTTCTACCTCTGCATGCTCCTCTGTAATGGCTGTCTTGCCGGATACGATCTTGACAGCTTCCTCTTCTGGGATGTTGTCCGTCACAGCTTGGGTGGGCGGTTTTTTGAACCCTTCTTCAGCAAACACAGTGTGTGTTTTTGGACCAGTAGCATACTCAGACACTGAGGTGTGCGACCATGGGACAACTGTGCTTCTTTCCTCCTTAGGAATTGGTTTCACACAGCTGCCCTTATCTGCTACAGGCAGAGGCACACTTCCATTGTTATGATCAATGAATGTGTGCTTCATGTTGGAGGAGAGGCCATCCTCACTGTATTAAAAAGGGAAATAAATCAAAAGAATTAAGATATATAATGAATCTCTGAGATGGTGAGAAACCAAATGTTGGTCCCCCTGTCTGTGTAACACAAATAGAGGAATCAACAATAAAGATGACTTTGACTTTGACTTAGTGTAGGAAAGTACATTTACCCAAGTATTGTACTTGAGTACTTTTTTGACATAGTTGTACTTTACTTGAGTATTTCCATTTAATACTACTTTATACTCATACTCCATCACTCACAGTTACTATATATGCTGATATGGTATAAAGCAATGCTGTACTACTAGTCTACCCAGTATAAAATGCTGTTACATGTATAAAAACAGGATAACATGATACCCATAATAATATAATACTGTGAAAAGATCCATTCACAAGTCATTTAACTTTTGACACTTTACAGTCAGTACATTTAGCTGATAATGCTTCTGTACTTTTTATTATTCTGAAATGGGTCAGTGTGCAGAATTAGTTATTTTACTTTCTGTACTTCAAGTATATTTTACTTTGCTTTTACTTATTGTGGAATATTTTAAGACCAAAATAATTGTACTTTTACTTGGGTTAAGGTTCTGAGAACTTATTAACAGTATATATATATAACCTGAAATCATGAAAACCTGATATTCAGATTCAAAACATTTACCAATAAGATCTACATTTTCCAAAGACTCTGTCTCACTTTAAAGTCAATATAAATCAGAAACGCACAGTATTACTTCAAAAGTAGAAACGCATATTCATGCACGCAGGCCATAAGACTGCTAAACTCATGAGCTTGCACCATTTTTATTGTTTTGTTTTATGTCCTATATATATGTATGTTGCATTGTTGGAGGAGCCTGGGACTTGTTGTTTAATCCATATCCACCTAGCTGTGAATATGACAATATAGCCCTTTGAACCTGTTAACATGTTGCACTCATAATGTTAATAACAAGGTTGAGGTCAGGAATTGAAAGAAAAGTCTCATACCCGCTCTCCTGGGTGTGTAGGCCCTGGCCACCTACAAGTATAAGACATAAAAACAGTTACTTATAATAGTTATCACTTACAAAACTGATAAGATGCACATTAAAAAGTCATTGTTTACATACACACACAAATGATAGGATTGTTGTTGATAAAACCACATAACAGGAACTTCCTGCGTAGGAATTTGATCACCGCGTCACAATTGCTTATCATGTTGTTTTTCTAAAATTGTAACTAACTAGCAACATTTCAGATTAACAAATATGAACACAATCATTTCTGTGGTCACTGAAGTTAACAAAACTTGTAATTTGTTTAAAAACGACATTAGCTTCGTCCTTAGAGTGCACAGGCCGGTTTGCATGCTCGAATGAATGACTCTTGCAGCAGGCCTTAAAACTCAGCACATAAAAAAGCTGGTCTTTCCCACTAAATGCATTTAAATGATATAATTCAAATAAAGAAACTTACTTTGCAGCTGAGGTTGGAGAAAGTCATTGTTTGGTTTGGTCATGGTTTTGATTTTAAAATGATCAACAGAGGCTAAGATGTTCCTTGGTAGTGACACGAGATATATAATGGCCACACCAGGAAATGCTCATGGATTCCAGTAAACGTCACCATTAATTTGTAATACATGATCTCCATCTGGTGGAAACAACATATCATTATCTCTATTGAAGTACACTCCACTCAGCCTGATGCAGCATGTTTACCGGGGGAAAGTGTGTTTGTTATGTTTGCATTTACTGGTGTTTCGGGTGCTCTTATTCCTCAGAGGACAGTGGATTTATACAAATAAGATATTCTTTAAGAACCATCAAAATACATTTAGCTATAGATTAACATTTGCAACCAATCGGATTCAGAAGTGAAAGAAAGATCCATCCTATTTCTGTTCATGAACATGTGAACATGACCTACTTCTCAGGGGTTTTTTGCACAAATATTCATTGCAGTTTAAAGTAAACCGTGTCCCAATTTCACTGAAGAAGCATCAAGTAAATTAAACTAGCATGATAAACCCTACACTGCAATGTTTCTGTGGTTATCACTTTGTTTGTTTCTTGTTTTGCACTATAGACAAAGAAAAAAATACAGAGGTCAAATAAAAACACATTTAAATTAATAAAAAATGCTGATTCCAGTATGAAAAGTGCTGATTCCCAGTGAAATTCTAAACCAAAGAAAAACAGCAAAAATATTGGTTAAAACAACTCACACTTACATTCAATAAAGCCACACTTTTTTTTAAAGATCCTATTATCACTGCAATAACAAAAATAGCCTAGAGTACTAATACTAGTCTGATGTAAATAATAAAAAGCAAAAGTCATACAATATTATTGTGAGGCTTATGTATTTAGATCTAAGAACTAACTAACTGAGAAGTTAAAAATGAAAACGAGAACTTGAAGTGATTTGAAGACATCTTTTAAGGACTGTGTGACGACCTGTGCAGCAGCTTTTTGATGTGCTGAGACATTTCCATTTAAACATGAGTCTTTGAACCGGGCCTCGGTTAAGTTTATCATCTGGAAACTGACTAATACTGCCTGTCAATCACAGTAGCATACATTTACTGTTTGTTTAATGTCAGCTGGTTGAACAAAAGGGCGTGTTTAACTTCAACTGGTTGTGGAGTTAATACAACTTCTGATGAAAAAACAACGACACCCACGTGCTTCATATAACGACAGATGAATGAAAAATTGGAGGAGAAATCTCAATAAATTAATAATAAAAAAATGAACCGATTTTGCTCTGACCATGTGAGAGTCACTGCACAGACCAAGACAGCATACACCGTCTTTAACATCCTTTCACAATTCTTTCACACAATCTTCTGATATACAGTCCAATCTGACATGTATCCATTAGTTTTGGGAGACATGAACATCATTAGGATGTGTCTTCTGGATACCAAGCATAAGTGCAACACTTATGATGAATAAAGTGACATTTTGTAGAATCAACACAGCACACCTGCAGTTAGTGCTTGTCCTGTTTCTCTAATGGGGATTTGATTTGAATATCTGTTAATGCTAAAAATGCAACATGAATTTGATTTGCCTTGAAAAAAAAGGTTTATATAAAAACTGAAAATATAATACTTGTGGTGCTCAAAGTTTTGTGGCTGCGTCCATTCTTTTTAGGGATGCTCCGATCGTCAATTTTGGGGCCGATCGCCGGAATCAGTATCGCCGATACCGATACCGATCACCGATCCGATCGAGTGGGTGGGGCCTATGGGGATCTTCCACAAGTGATGTTTAAACTCAGTTAATGGGGCTCATTCACTGGCGCTTCCACAAACAACAACCAACATAATTATTACATTCAAATGAAGTACATTATTCAAGTTTACATTAACTTTGGATAATAACACGGGAGAAATGAGCGGAAGCGCTCTCTCTCCCTCTCTTTCTCTCCTGACAGCCTGTCAGTATCGCCATGCAGCACTGATCCAGTAATGAGTGACCCGACAGTGAAGAATAAATATATTTATAACTAGTTTAGCTTGTTCCAGAGGTAGATAACATCGCTACGTGTGTTAGGTCTAACTAAGTGTGTGTTTTGCTCCGCCCACCTGTCCGTCACAGTGGTGGAGCTGCAGGATTTCTGCTTCACACATTTGGCGTCATGCGATCGGCTCTCGCGATCTGCATTTTAAGAGAGCACGGTAGATCGGTAGAGTATGAGTATCGGCCGATTTCGATCGGCGGCCGATCGCCTAATTATTTTCAAGTAGGCCTATTAATTGCAATATTTTAAATGATAAAGTGCTCACATTAGCTATATTACATTTATTTATTGCGTGAGAACATTAGTGAGTTAAATCAGTTAGTAAGTAATCTGACCCATCCACTGTGTCCTTATAGGCCCATCATTTCATAATCTGTCCAGCTCTCACGTACAGTTTAAGCACTATATTGTAAATCTACTAGGCCTATATTTAATTGTTTAATTGGTGTTGCTTCCATATAACCACCAGGTGATCAGTTTGAAAATTCCCCTATATCGTGGCTTTGTACATGCAGCATCATCATCCACGCAGTCACATGTCCTTTTGTTTATGAAAAAAAATGGTGCCATCTCTGAGCTATTATTCAGGAATAGATGACTATGATTTCCTGGAAGGCCATGACTCAGATCCAAGGAGGTGTGGACAAACAGGTAGAGAGAGAGAAGAAACCCTGTTCCCTCTTGTTCAGACCTGACACAGCTGCTTTCACTCCACAGCAGGAAGGATTCCCTCTTCAGTAGAAAGGTAAGCACCTTAACGGCTTTCTGTAACATATGTAAATGTCGATTTTTAACAACTTTGTTACATTTAGTAATAACCTCTTTGGTCTTTGTTAACCTTTCCGGGGTAAACGAGTCAGACCAGAGAACGTCAACTACCAGATATAAGATGTTAAGAAAGATAATACAGAATGTACTAGTTCATAGTCGCAGTAGGCCTACTCCCTCCATCTGTGAGACGTCAGTCACTAAAAGAGAGTATTCATTCTAAAGCTTTTAGTTAGGAACATGACACATGTATGAGCAAACACTGTGTCCGGGATAATACAAATATAAACTTTCTTGTGGACTAACCAGTTTGTCAGCTTTTTTGTATCTCCCTGTTATGTAAGCTAGCTACCTAACACATGACCGTGGGTCTTTGCAAAATGATCAAGGATTTAAGTTGCTTTAAGTCTTTTCACTGGAGGCCCCTCCTCTGTCTTAAAAAAGATAAACGTGTATGTTTAGATCAGACCAGGCTTAGTTGTGTTTTGTGATCAAGCAGTGGTTCTCAACTGGTGGGTCGCGACCCAAAAGTGGGGCGCGGACCCGTTTCGAGTGGGTCGCAGATGTGTGAATGAAGGGGGAAAAAAATATATAGCCTATATTTTTTCTTTTCGGAAAATGGTGGAACTTTTATTTTGAAGACCCAATTTTTTAACGCTGTGCATGCAGTAGGCGTTGGACTGGAGGTACCGGAGACCATAAACGGTTTTGAAAACTTCTGTCACGTAGTGATCATCTTCTCAATAAAACATCTTTGCTGATGTTTTTTCGAGTCTTCTGGCCAATCAGAATCAAGATTGTTGCCGGAAGTCCCGACGGAGAATAACTTTGATATAGAACTACTCTTTATACATCCATGGGTACAACTTCAGATAAAAATGAACACATAATGAAATTTGACCCCCGGTTTGATGATTGACAGGTCCACAGAACAATGGGAGCTATCTACACTTTAACCACAAAGTAATTCCACCACAGACTATCTCCTCCTTTGCTCTTCTCTCATTTGAGGAGCAAGCAAGCTGTCAGAAAAAAGTGAAAAACAAACCATGGCATAAGAATATTATTAATATATCAGGTAGTAATAGTAATAATAATAATAGTACTTTTCTTCTCAGAGTGTACCAGAATGCGTAGTTTATATGTTAGTATTTTCAAAAAATCTCTTGGGAGAGAATCCCCCCAGACCCCCCTTCTTGGGTTGGGTTTTCAGCATGTGTGCCTTTTTATGCGATACAGTTCAGCTTTGATTCCATCATATCATTAAACCTTATTTAAAAGCATTCTTTAGTTCTGTGAAGGGCTATAAGGGATATATGCACTGACACTGTACTTCACTTTAATTCATAATGTATGTGGAAAAGCGTATTACAGCACGATTTTTTGTTGAATAGGTTTGAGTGGTTCAAAATTTCGGGTCGCGATTTATTGACAAAGGAAAAAGTGGGTCCTGAGGCCTGACCAGTTGAGAACCACTTAAACATTGGTTAAGTGATTTTAACTCCTACTGAACTGATGGGTTAAATGCAGAGGCTACACTTAAATGTGTATACTGTGCTGGGTACATGTGTGGCGATAAAAAGTGGGTTTGATCCAAATCCTCAACAAGGAGAACAAGTACACAGTCTAACAACAACATTGACACTCCCTTACTGAACATTTGATCAAATTTATTTGCCCGACTTTTGACAGGTCCATTCACGCTGAAAGATGCCTGGATGAGAACTACCAGTAGTATTATAAATTCATTGCGATTGAGTCTTCTTTCACTTGGATACAAATCTAATATTGAATTGAATACTTTTATATTTGTATTTCAAGATTTATCTTCAAAGAAATTATCTTAAGAATCAAGATTAAGTAGTGTAAAATGGCAACATTAACCCAAAGTAGGCTATAACATTTTAGGAGAAAAACCAGTCCTTTCTATTGTACACTGTTTTGATTTAGTTTGGTATCTCTCTTAATAACCTTAAAAATGTACCTGATGTACAACGCGGATTGGAATTCAATTTATCATGAGTCGTCTGTTTGCTTGTCAAGATAACATAATCTTAACCCTTGCTGTTATTTGATCTGTTCTTGTAGTCACAACAACGAACACATAGCAAGTACGCAAAGTGATGAAGAGGAAGGTCCCAAAAATCCCAGCAACATTTACAAGAAAACCTTCATTGGCCAACAGGAACAGCGCTCACAAACAGTCTATAGAACAGCATCTAAAACATCTTAATACCAATATGTTGAACATGTTCTAAACCAAACTGCCATTAAGTGCGGAGGAGCCTTTTATTAAAGTAATATCGTATCGTGTTTTCTGCTGTTTAGTCCTCTGTAATTAAATGTTTTGAGGTTGAGCATATTTATTGTCAAAATGCCCTCACAATCTACCTCCTATCTACTAGATGGCGTACTCCACCGGAACAATCGCAAAAGGCTGTTTTGGGAAGGTCTACAAGCAGAAGTACTTAGATACCTGGGCTGCTATAAAGAAAGTCCCGCAACACCTCATCAGGCAGCACGACCTGGAGAGAGAGAGTGAAGTGTACAAGTAAGTACACGTGATTTAGTTATGTTTGCAGACTCAAAAGAAAGCCAAGCAGGATATAAAAAAATAATGAGAAATACACACAAATATATAATAATGTAAGTGTATTATAATGCAATAAGTTGCAATTCTTTAGACTCAACTCTTATCCGATACCAAAAAAAAAACAGAAGTAGACACACCATTTACAGCCACTATATAGATAATATAACACAGTTTAATAACCATAACAATTGTTGGTGTTATCTTCCAACCAAAATATGTGGCAAGGGGGAACCATTCTTTGAAAAAAAGAATCTCTGATGTGTGTGTTGGCTCTTTTACTTATAGGTCTCTCTTAAACACAATTACCCTCTATACGGGTACCCAGTAAGTATCTAGTTTGTTCTTAATTTGATCTTATTTGTCTTTTTCTCTGTCTCTCCATGACTTTCCACCACTGATCTGCAGGAAGGCAAATCATCCAAATATTGTGAAGCTACTGGGGAAAATAAATCTCAAAGACGGAAAATGGATTATTCCTTTAGAGTTTATCTTTGGAGAAGACCTGGAGACCACCATCTTTAAAGCATCACAGTCTAAAATACAGGTAAAGTTATCATGTCAACAAACAATAGCTTCACACTTCTTCAGAACAGCAATTTTATTGAGGCCTGAAGGAAAATGATGTTACCTAATATGAGAAAAGTGGATTTGACTCTAATGTGGCTCATACTTGATGCCAGTCTGGTTAAAGTTGATCTCAAATGTCTGTCTCTTACAGTTGACTCCGTCTATCAAAGGAACTATCATCACCGGCATGTGTGAAGGGCTGTACCACCTTCACTCCAAAGATATTGTCCATCAAGACCTCAAGCCTGAAAACATCATGGTGGGTGGAGGCCTGTGCAGACTGTCAGCATGCAAAAAACAACAGAGATTTACAGAGGACATATAGTCCTGACTGAATAAGTAACTATAAGATGACATTACATTTTATTAGAGATATCCATGGAGCTTAAAGAACTAATCCTAATGTTTTTGCTCAAAGCCTGATATTTCCTCTTGCGCCACAACAAAGTTTACATTTCCAGATTCTAATAAAACGTCTTACCAACTACTGACATGAGATTTAATACACACTTTTAAAAAACCCTCAGGATAACTTTGGTGAGCCCTTAACCTTTCATCCAGCTACATCATTAGGTCTAATGTTTAATTTGTTTAATATGACTAAATACCTGCAGCCTCAGATGGACTTAGTTTTAAATGCTCACAAAAAAGAATACCATGCTAACACGCTAAACTGGTGGAGCTGGTAGTATGGAGGTAGTGTAGACTATCTCATGATACTTGTAATCACTGGGCAGTAGCTGAAACCGAAAGACGGCCTGCACGTCTATCCGCTTTTAAATCTCTGAATTGTTTTTTTAATTTTGTAAGAATATAAATTCAATAAAGTTAATGTGTCCTTCAGGTGGAGCATGACACAAACAGAGCAGTCATCATCGACCTGGGATTGGCTAAGTTCTTCCGGTATGGTCAAAACTCTGCCATAGACATGGGGAATGAGGCGTACTCTGCCCCTGAGGTTCTGCAGAGGGGCAGTCAGAGGGACCAGCGCTCAGACGTGTGGGCCATGGGTAAAATCATCGCCGAGCTCTGTGCCCGGGTCCGGCTGTACACGCCCAGCGTCTGTCCAGCTAAGATCAACGATATCCTGAAGGATCAGCCTTACTGCCATGTTGTGTGTAGGATGGTGGTTCCCGACCCTACTCTGAGAGCCTCCATGGGTGGGGTCATGAGTGAGATAAAAAGGGTCGGAGGTCCAGGCATTAACCCCGTTAAAAAAGATGACCTTAAGCCAGCAACACCTCACATCAGTGTCGAAAAACTGTCTCCAGTGAACAGAGACCTATCGCCAATGAACAGAGACCCAAACCCAATGAACAGACACCAACAGCCAATGAACAGAGGCCTAACCCCCATGAAAAGACACCAACAGCCAATGAACAGAGGCCTATCACCAATGGACAGAGACCGAACCCCCATGAACAGAAATCCATTGCCAATGAACAGAGACCTATCGCCAATGAAGAGAGACCCAAACCCAATGAACAGACACCAACAGCCAATGAACAGAGGCCTATCACCAATGAACAGAGACCCAACCCCCATGAACAGAAATCCATTGCCAATGAACAGAGACCTAAACCCAATGAACAGACACCAACAGCCAATGAACAGAGACCTATCGCCAATGAACATACACCAACAGCAAATGAACAGGGCTCAAACACAGTTTAACAGAGATCCAACCAACAGGGAGAAATCGCCACTGAAATGGGAGCGCTCACCGAGACCAGAGATCAAAGCTCCGCCTCCTCGAGCAGCAATGCCCCTTCCTCCTTCCCCTTATAGGACGGAGGACAAGAACAAAAACCAGGGTCTGGCCCCGACAGGCAGAACTGAGCGCACCGAAGACCTCATGAAAGGGAAGTTTTTCCAAGGTGCTGCAGATAACCTGCCCAGCAACCTGCCCACAACAGGAAGGGTGGTCATGCAGCGCTTTGAGATGAAAAACGGGGAGGTTGAAACATGGGAGCAGAAGGAGGTGGTGACTGAGTGTGGAAAAATAGTCAAGTTTGGTGATCTCAAGTTTGATAGCAAGTAAGAATAAAGGGATTTCTTATTTGGCAGATAATGTAGCTCCTATAAAAAGGATTGAATGTGCTGGTTCAACGATTAGTGCAGGGTCACCTAGCTTTTGGTATCTTTTTAAGAGAGCATGTTAAATACTTTTCCAATGAGTCAACGTGTAAACTGAGGTGAAACTACAGTGGGCCCTTGTTTTTTTGCACACATAAAGACAATTATGAAATAAATGATAGGTTGAAATGGTTTTGAGGAGACATAGAGAAAGGGCTTTGGTTCTGCTGTAACAAGTTATTCAGCCATGTTAGGAATTAGATTGATATCTAATTTACTTGGCAAGAAAAAGATATCTGCAGGCCCGAACAACCATCTGTGAATGTTTTATCTGTATCTGAATGCATAACACTGTGAACATGGCTCGTACATTATGTGTATGGTTTTGTATATAAATAAATCCTGATATCTCAATTTCAGAGGTGGATTCAGGGTTTTTTGTAATGAAAAGAAGCGAGAAAACTTTACTTGATCGCTGTAAACTAAAATGGTTTCTGAAATCAGAGTAAGACAACATGGGCCAGGAGCAAACTATAAAATAATACTGTTTTTTGCTGTTTTTTTATTAGGTCTTAAATTGGTGACTTCTGTGGCTAAACATACAAGCTACATACTTCATTTCTGGATCAAGACAGTCTCAGGTTAGGAAAATGTGCAGTGTTATTTGTTTGTTAAAAAACAAACTTGTTAAATAATGAAATGAATCTTGGTGGATCAGTTTGGGTAAGGGCCAAGTTTTTGGCACTCCAACCATAGCTTAATTTGTATGAAAAGCTCTTTTCACTTCAGCCCAAAGCCACTAAACTTGGATTTGTAGAGTAACATATTTTTGGCCTAAATTTCTTGGTTAAAATTGTTAACTTTTAAACTCTTGAACACAATATGAAAATGCCACCACATTTGGACAACAGCAACCCAGCTAACTTGATAGCATATCACTGGGTCGGGTGGTTCTATGTTGGGGGGGGGGGGCAGTGCCCCCGTAACACTGACTTTGGGCCCCCCTGCGGCCCCCCTGAAAATGAAAAGTTTATTATTAAACAATTTCTTGGCTGACGGAATAGGCGGAACTAACGTTATTTGTCAGTCGGACCCATTAGAGCGTAAAAACTGTAACTATAAGTATCTGAAATAAATGTGTACCAATAACTGTATTGCATTGTTTTCTTAAGCGCAATTACTTCATACTGTCTTTGTCTTTTTCGTCCTGCATTTATTGTGCCCCTCTCAGAAAATAACTGGCCCCAGCCTGGCCCCCCCAGTCAAATTGGTCTAGAACAGCCACTGCGTGTAGGTCATTATTGAGATAATGTCGGTATTCTTTGACAATTTTAGCTACTGCAATCAGCCACTATGCCTCTATCCAGTACCAAAAGTGATGTTCTTGCGTCTTGTCTTATCCTTGCCAACAGTATGCACCCAAAGTTATTTACAATATAAGACAAGGAAATACAGCTAAAACAATCCTTTTAGCTGAGTTGCTTCAAGCATCATTTTCACTTCCTTAAATGACTTCCTTGGTAATAAAGAAGCTGCTAATCTATACAAGAAACTACTGGTGTCAGCTTACTGACTACTCAGACACACAAAACCAAATACATTGTTTTCATTCTACTGACCTGTTTTTAAAACCATAAGCACTGTGTTAACATTTCATCCTTTAGTTTTGGTTAACAGTGCTGCCCCCACCAAATAGTAATCAAAGCGTGTCTTAAAACATCAACACTAAAAATACCGTGTCAAATAGCAAATTGGTATTTTAGCTTTCTCTAATATTGACAAAAGATATTCAGACATGTCAGAGGTGATTTGAGGTTCACAGAATCTAAATAAGGACATCAACAGTCGGTGTGGACTTTTTTTCTCAGTTGTCTGTATCTGGAGTTGTATATCATACTATATTCCTGTTTAACTTAAAGCAAGTAGCTACAGAAGTTGTTGAGACATTGTATAAATAGTGCTAGATTGAAAGTCAGGTCAACAAAGTTATTTCCCATTGTGATTGTTATTTAAGCAATAGCTCACGACAGGCCGTGGTATATGCTCATTATATCACAGCTAAGGGGCGTGGTTCGGCCCGACGCGAAGCGGAGGGTCGACAACCCCCTTTTGAATGGTGGTACTTTTCCAGTTGGTTTACCTGCTCTTCACGTAGCTCTGCATGTCGTAGTTTAGGTGCTTTTTTTTCTGGAGATAGGCACTGCTCAATCCACTCCTCCATTCTATAGTAAGACCCCCCCGGAGGTCGAAGTTAATCTTAAATGTTTCCATTTTATGCTTTGTAAGTTTGTTTCGTAACGGAAGAAATTTAAATATATTTATAAAACTGACAAGTCAAATCAAGCAATCTGATTGATCGATAGCGTCAAACCTTCAAAAGTATCTAGATATCCCTGCCCTAATGCCAAAGGAACTGCACACTGAATATGTTTTGCCGTTTGATGTCTATGTCTGGACCGCTGCGTCAAAAAGGAGGGCTTCTGCCCAGCTTCTGCCCAGTTACTTCTCCGCTGCTTTCTTGTTCCAGTATGAAAAGCAAACTGCACGGTATACTTTTTTTGCTCAGACGCGGAGGGATACTGACTTGTTGTGAAAAGTAACTTACAATTCTACCCGTGGTATACGCTCAGTATATCACGGCTAAGAACCAATCAGATTGCTTGATTTGACTTGTCCGTTTTATAATTAAACTTATATTCTTGGAAATTTTGAATGTGCTTGCCTTGAACTGATTAATGGGCATTCATACTCTGAAACCTTTCATGCAAAATATGAAACTGTTCAAAGTGTAAGATACTCAATATACTTATGAAGTTTTAAAGAGAACTCAAAACATGTTGGGTGATAAAACAACCTGTTTAAGAGTTTCATAATATTGTGCCAAGAAAGAGAAAGAAAAATCTAACCAAGTGGGTTTACTTTCCAGCCTGTTCCAGCTTGACAACATTCCTGCCCTCATGTACAACTTAGTGGGAAAGGTGTTGTCGTTTCCCACTAAGTGATACATCCATTAGGTCATAGAGTTGTCATCACCCTCACATATTAATACCATGTGATAAGCTTTTTTAAAACGGCTAACTTTGACAGCAACGGTGTTACAGGAGGTGTACAAAGAGATGCACAATAAACGTAAGTTGCACAAAAAAAAAACGATTGAAAAATAAAACAGGTGAAGCATTGCTTTTGAATAATCAGTTTAATAATGAATTTAAGGCCACTCTGGACTGTGCAGAATTCATAAAGAGCAGAAACAACTCACAAAGTCACATTGCTCTTGGTTACGTCAGTGCTACCCTGTGATGACTGCTTTCTATTGCTGCTGATCTACATCAGAACGGAGTCAACGTAAAGTAGCTTAAATCAGAAACACAAAACATCAGGTCGAGTGTCGCACAGTTAAAGATGGAGACTGTATGCTGTGACTTTGGGAATATAAGCTTCCTTTGTACATCTTTCTGAGAAATGCCCTACTTGAATCCTTACATTTAACAGTGAGGAGCATTCCCCACAGCAGAAACTTGCATTTACAGTCACAATAAGAACGTTTCCAGTTCACAACATAGACACTTCAGCATGCGTCATATTCTTCTAGAGGAGCACTGATATGTATCATCTTCACATTGTGCTCGGTACACTTCCTCGCTAATAGGTTTGTTGCCATGCATATTAAGTCTTGATATAAAGATGCTATTGTATTAGTGAGCACAAGTTGAAATAACACTATTATGTGTTGCTAAGGCCATAGGAGACGAATATGAAGTCACATCAAAATGATAATACAGTATATAGTCATCTAATTATGGAAATCACAGGTTGACACTCTCAGAGCTCAAATCGTCCCCTAACACGGACAAATGCCCAATGTCATGATGAAAAAATAAGTTCAGTACAGCATTCAGAAAATAAATCACTTGTAATCATCATGGACCATCTTCATCTCTTCACAAAAAAGAAAAAAAACGTAAATTATGAGTGTTTTGAATACATGTTGGTGTGAGATTCTTTGAACAACATACAAGTATTGATTTGATAGACACACACACACACACACACACACACACACACACACACACACACACACACACACACACACACACACACACACACACACACACACACACACACACACACACACCTTTGGTTTCAGCCTGTTCACCTGCCAGTACAGCCACTCTCAGTGGAAGAGGGGACTCTTTTTCGCATCTTTACAATCAAATCTGTCAGAGTGGAGGGAAGCGAAGGAGGCGCAGACATGCAGTATACGGGCACAAGTGGAAAGGAAATGGCAGATGTTTCGATGTGAAGGCTTCCAGAGTAAGATTATGGACCAAACTTGAAAATTACACAGGGACAAATAGTTTCTGTGTGTTTGAAAGGGGAGAACAGAAAATACAAATAAAAATGGTGGTGAGACTATAAGTATAACAATATTGCTAAGAAATCGTGAACTGATATAATCTGCTTAATTTGAACACAGTTTCATTGAGTGCCATTTAGACACTATTCTGTGGCGGTTTTAATGAATCATATCCTAACAAGAAGTCACAGAATTCTCTCAAAACACAAACAAGATCATAATATTCCTTCAATTGAACTGAGGTAAATTATATATATATATATTTTTACTTTTTTGAGTGCATTTCTCCATGATATGTATAGATTAAGGAAAGGAAGTGGGCAAAAGATACATTATAACATTTGACTGCATATAAAGTGTTGTGGGAGTAAGCCAGCACTCTTGGGGGGAAACATCTACATAAGGAGATGTAAAGTAAACTGCACATGATCAAATGATAAATAAAAAATTGTTTTAAAGCAAGACAGACTCCATTTTGATGTTAAGCTCATCTGAAGGCAGAGGACTGATCACCGTCACAAAGAGGTGCTCTATTGGATAAAGGTGAATGCACACAATAACAAAAACGACAGAAAATCAAATGTAGATATCCCATATGCTGAAATGTGAAAGGCTGAATTGAATGCAGCTGTTTACAGAACCAAGACGTAAAATGAACTCTCATTCTCGTTAGTATTTCCACTGAAAATGACAGGTAATGTATGTGTACAGCATCTGAAAACATTTGAAGGATTTAGTCCACCTGATGCAGAAACCAAACGGATAAAGGTCTTTCTAAACGAGACCCCAGGTATTTGCAGACAGGTGGTCGTATGTGCAGCGCTCAGTCAGAAGCAGTAATAGATGCAGAAGTAATAAACAACATTTTCAAGTTCCTTCATTCATCACTCATTGTAGCAGCTTCACACACTCTCCTTCAGTCATGTAGTCATTGGCATTTGGACAAAAAAAAACGAGTGCGACTGCTGGAAATCACAGCTACTGCTCTATCAAACCCAATATTCGGAATAATGTAAGGTACGAGTGAAGAGACAGAAAACAAAACAAGCTTCTAAGGCATCACAAGGTTTAGCCAGCGACCACAGCGCAGTAGATATATAAACTCACAGAGTCCAACGTTTACCCTTCACTGTGGCTCCCATTGGAAGAAGAGTCAGTGATAGAACAGGAGCCAAGGTGGAGAGCCGTCATCTAAGGGTTGACAAATTCTGGTCAATTGTTTTCATTTTCAAAAAAAAAAAAAAATCACCATTTTAAAATCACCCAAATCAGTGTACCACTGTCCACAAAGAAATGCCACCAAAAACTGACAAAAAAGTGAAAACAGCTCCAGGTGATAGAGGAGAAAAACAGCATCCTACAGCTCGACCAATAGGATTATCCCATTGAAGTCATGGCAGCGTTATACATGATTAGAAGTATTTTGCGTTGGCTTTTTGTTAGTGTCGCCTTCTGTCATTTTGGCTGGGACGTTGGCTGGGACTTCGGCAGGTGATTTTTTCTCTGGATGTTTTTCTGCAGCTTTTTCTGGAGGAGGTGGAGGGGAATGTAGACCGGCCTCAGTGCCAATGTTAACAGTGATGTTGGTGTAGAGGGGCATGTATTCCCGTGAGATCATCTCATATTCAGCTGTGTTCATCCCATCCGACTTCCAGGTCTGACGTGTTTTGGCCAGCATGTTGAACCTTTAAATAGACAGAGCAGTGATGACTGAACGCTGCGTAGCTTTGCATTTTACTTGACGTAACAATTAGTGTCATTTCTGCTGTTTCCATTTATGAACAAGTAGTGCAGGGTCTCTTTTACATCATCATTTGTGTTAATCTGCATTCAAACTAAATCAGATTTACTCCTAAAGTCCCAAATTAAAATAAATACATCAAGTAGTTTACTGTACCTCTTTGGGTTCACATCATTGCCTTTGTCCAGCTTGTGTTTAATCATCTTGTAACGGCCGACCTTCACTGAGGGACGACTGATGTACATCCCCCCCAGAGACACTCTAAAAAGAAGAGAAGGTATGTCCATCACATAGGGCTGTGCATATAGTCATATTTTAAAATAGCAATAACGATTTGGCCTGCCACAATTACGAAAACATAATCGAAAAAAACGATTATTTTGCTTTGCTAGGTTGTGACAGTGCACTGCAACATATTTGATCTAATTGAATTGTATTTATCATATTTATATATGTTTAGAAGCTTGTTGAAGTGCGCTCCAAAATATTTGTTGATCTTGTTTATTGGTATTTATTATTTTGTATTATTTATTTAAATGTAAATATATCACTTATTTTATTTATTTTTGTATTGGTTTTTCAGTTGAATTATACGTTCAGGGTAATCAACAGTTGTAAGATACCGTTCAAATTATTATTTGTATTTTTTTTTTAAAGCTCACTAAATTGATGTTTTGCTTCCTCCTACTCCCTTTTGGACACATTTCTTAAATATTATTATTAATATGAAGACTTTTTGTATCATGAATGTGCATAAATACTGTATTTTAACAATACGGTATTCTGTTTTTCACATTTGTTATTTTGTTATTTTTTTAATCTGTTCGAAATAAAGATTGAAATGAAATGAATGAAAATGTTTTCAAAGTTAATGAATAATCGTATTTAATAATCAAATTATTGACCAAAATAATCGTGATTATGATTTTTGCCATAAACTGGATCACACTCATCTCCTTACGTGGTTCAAGAGACACAAATCAAAACATTGATCTTGTACCGATAACAGAGTTTGACCTATAGTAGGGTAGCACAACTGTTTCAATGTAATACTAGATCTACTCTTAATCAAACTGGAAATGCCATAATGAGTGACTGTCTACATATAATTTATTCTGAAGAGCATTCGGCCAAGGCTCACCTGAGTCCAATATCGTCGTCCTCTCCACCCCAGCCCCAGTAGTTGTTGGGAAAGCCGTTCATCTTGAGGTAGTGCAGTGGCGTCAGAGCTGACACTCCTCCAAAGTACATCTTGTACGGAAGCCTGGAGAGGATTAAGTATTGCAGGTAAACATATGTAATCGGTGAACAGTGAAGCCTTCAATGGATTATTAGACACAAGAAAAGGACATACTTGTAGCCGAACTTGTCCATGGCGATGGCCACATGCTTGGGGGTGGAGTCGCAGACGTACGTGTTGCGATCGTCCTCCGGGATGAGGTCCACATCATGGAAGAAGAGGCAGTCCCAGTCCTCCTCCCTCATGGCTTCTCGGAAACCCACATTCATCAGCTTGGCCCTGTTGAAAGTGTATGTTCCAGCCTGTGGAGAAAACACAGACACATCATGTCAGAGTGATGGAATCATCTCACTTCAATACAGCTCCAGAAGGTTTTGTTAACAGAGAGGCATCTAGCACGAACCAGACAACCTTGGAGTACGAGGGAGTTAGAGGTATAGAAGATAAATCCACAAAGTAGAATCAAATAATCAGGAAACCATTGCAGGAAGAAGTGGAACACATTCATTCTTATCTGGCAAAAGAGAGAATAGCGAATGAGAGAATGCTGAGAAATACACATGAAACAATTGTTATAACCAGCTAAAGAGGTTAAAGCATCTAAGCGTCCTCTTTCTCTAACATGCACAAGCAGGGACAGCACACTAGAGGGCACTCTTTATTTAGCTCAGGGTATATGCAGGAATCCTGAATTCAAATGGAAGACCTTTTTTAAGACCCTTTCCATACATTTTAAGACCTCATCGCCACTTGGACTTTTAACCGGTTACATTGGCGACCAGGGCCGGCCCTAGACTTTTGGGGGCCCTAAGCGAGCTTTGGCTTGGGGGCCCCCCTCACTCTGGTGGGTTCTCCCTACACACAACACGGAACCAACTTTTGTCTTATGATGTTAGCATGAGCACACATATTGTATAAATAAGCATGTAAACACTGTGGACCTAACTTCCTCTAGGGGGGGTCCTCATCTCCGCTAGGAGGTTCCGGGGGCATGCTCCCCCGGGAAGATTTTTTTTAAATAACGAAGTTAAAAGCATCAATCTGGTGCACTTTGAGAGCAAAATTAAGAGATCTATGGATACATCTCTCAACATCCATATGAAACAAAACTGTAAACAGATTTTATTTTTCTTATATTTTACAAATCACTCCCCTTTTAAACTGTATTCTTGTTTTGTCATATAGTATTTCACAACTGTTTTTCATTTATTCTCTCTGGCTTTCCATCTCATAATGTTCACATAGAAACTAGCTGTCAATAGGAATATCATTCAGAAGAATTATAATTTCTTGCAAAAATCTGTCACAAAAAGAGGCTGCACATTTAAATTCAGGTGTTGTTATGGCAACGTCAGTGGCCAAACAGACACATTTACTACTTGCAAATACGTTCAAACATGCTGTCGACACGTAAAGCAGTGGCATCAACGTAAGCTGTAATTTATGCTTCTGCTTTAGCATGTTCGGCTATTCTTCGGAAGTTTAGCTGACATTTATCATAAAACGCATACAAATTACCAATGGCCTCAAGATGGAAGGAACCTAGAAACTGGGGTTGTTGGATGTGCCACCACTATGAGATAGATCGTCTTTTAAGAAAGATGTTCATTATAATAGATCCATCATATTTATATATAAAACAAAACCTGAATCCGACTGACAATTTAAACATTGTCCACAGCGCAACCAGAGAAGATAGTACTGTCAGCCATAAAAACAGAATGTTAATATATCCATATCAACTCTCCTGGTTGGTCATAAAGTGTGATTAGCAATCTGTTATGCATTCACTGAACACGGGAATTAGACAAATTCTGCCGAACGAAAAACAATCAAATCATATGAAACATTTCATGATGAGAAAATTTCAGGTTAAAAAAAACATGAGTGGGGAGTGATTTAAGCAGTGGGGCCAAAAAAAGTATTTAGTCAGCCACCATTGTGGGAGCAAGATATTCATCACCACTTAAAAGATGAGAGGAGGGACCTGAGTATATATATCATACTAGGTATAACTCAACTTGAAGACAAAATGAAGAAAGAAAAAAATAGAAAATCACATTGTCTTGATTTTTTAAAGAATTGTCCGTAAAAATTATTGTGAAAATAAGTATTTGTCAGACAAAAAAGTTCGCTGCCTCAATACTTTGTTATATAACACTATTGTTGGACAATGAACGAGAGACCAATATCTAGATAAGTCTTCACGAGTTATCACACACTGTTGCTGAGAAGGGAATTATTGAAGAACCATTCCTCCATTGCAGAATCTCATACACTTAAGAGCATATATATATATATGATGTTTTGGGGCTGTCGCTGGGGCAAAAACAACGGAATTTCAACTCCCTCCAAAGATTTCTGGTTGAGGTATAAAACTAGGGATGAAAATTACAGGCCTCTCTCATCTTTTTAGTGGGAAAGACTTTGCAAAGGTGGAGCTGACATATAACATATATATATTGCACCACTAGATAATATAGATGGACAACAATATAATCACTAAGGTTTTGAGAGTAGGGAAAACAATATACATAGGCAATATTACACATTAAATCACACATACCCAGGCGACGGTGTGCATGGGATTTATATTAATTTATATTTATTATATTTTCAATATATATTAAAACACATTTTTTTTATATATATCATTATAATATATATATATATTTTTATGAGGAGAGACTAGGAGGGGGGAGAGGGGAAGGACTAGTGGCTGCAGGGGACACCTGACCAGGACCGAGCTTATGTCGGCTTAAATGGGTCCGGGCCGGCTCTGGTGTCCCATGTAGCATACCAAATAAAGATTAGCACATAAAAGAGATAGGGCGATTCAAATGTGGCCTTCGACTTCAGCAAGAAACACGCAGCGTGATGTTTCATCTAATATTACTTTATGTTCTGACAAAAAAGATTTTGAGAGAAACTTTAGACACTGAAAAACACTGAAGCAATTGACTTAAGATTTATATAAGCATGATTATATATGTCAACACATTTATACAACAACATAGATTAGGGTTTGTTGAAAAGCAATAATATTACAATTGAACCAATTCAACATGTAAGATTATTCGGCTTCAACTAACTCTAAACTAAGTTATGTGAAATATGTTAATAATACATTTAATTAAAGTCCAATGCTTCAGTGTTTTCAGTGTAGTTGTCTGTATGCTAATTGAAATAATTCTTTCTAGCTAACTTAGTGCCTTAGAGTTGGAGCTAGGCAGATATTAATTAAACAATCATTGTCCTCATAATGCCTGATTACACAGCTAAGCATCCTCTCCCAACAATACCACATTTGGCTATAACAAAATAGTAAAAAATTTAGTAAGAAAAAGTAGAATATTTGTGTAATCACATGTGGACATGTTTTAGCTGTGGCTTCCGAAGGTGACCGTACGCCAAGCACCTGTATAAGCAACCCTGACAGGCCATGAGGCGGGGACCGTGTTGACGTCACAATCTACGCCCTCTGAATCTCTGCGGCCACCTTCACCCCCGAGAGTAAGCGCATGATTGTCAGCATCTGGCATTTGGATCGGTACGTTCTGCTCATTTAAATCGAAAAAACTCTCTCCCATCCATTTCGCCCCGTAGGTACATTTCAATGCTTCCTGTTTTAATTCATTCACGCACTGAGTTAATGCAATAATCTAGGACCAAATTGTGAAGTAGGCACGGGAATTTAGCATTTTATGATGATTTCATCTACTTCACTAACAACACTCGCATCGTCTTTCACAAAGGCTCTTTCATTCTGTCAACCCCAATTTTAATGTACGCAGCGTAATAGAGGAGGGTTACCTGGTACGGGCGCAAGGCAGTGACGCATGGAGAGGTTCGCGCCCTCAAACGACAGCACGAGAGGGCTTTCATCGCTCCTAAAGCAAAAGTATTAATTGCTGCCTTACTTGCTTGCCTGTCCTCAATCCACCTTTCCTTCTGCTAGGCACTCTGATGGTGAAGCGGGGCGCGTCGGGCAGCCCGCCGCCAGCACTGCTGGAGCCAGTAACGAACCAANCATGGAATGCTCTTAACATCCCGATAGCAATGAATATCTGAAGTGCTTTGACACAAAATACATAAAATAATTTCATCTGTGGAAGCCGTAGCGCTGTAAAAAGCACGACCAATCCAATAACTGGATGGCCTACCTGCCTGTCAGCCTTCCATCTGTGCACAAACTTATCCAGCGCCCTCATTTTACAGCGCTACGGCTTCCACAGATGAAATTATTTTATGTATTTTGTGTCAAAGCACTTCAGATATTCATTGCTATCGGGATGTTAAGAGCATTCCATGGAATATAACAAAAAGTGTATCTCGAGCCGGTTTCTCAAACTTACCTACCCCACCTTTAACATAATATAAAATATCCCTTCAGTGCTTTGTTTTACACCATTTTAAAACAAACTAAAAATAGACAGCAAAGTACATTATTAAGCAATATAACAGATGATAGTAATCTTATAACGCGACCACATTTGCAATCATGAGTATTCAAAGACCTCCTCTCTAGCAGTACCGTTACATACTCTTACGTTTTTATATTTATATCTGCTACATTTGTTATGTATCGTTTTGTACGTGCAGTGACCTCTAATTTGAATAGCTGCAAAAATAAAAATGATGTCATTAACCAACACTTAGCTATCATTTTATATTAAAGCACAAACTAAAGTGTATAAATGTCCACTGTAGAGCAAAACAAATTGTCTCATATACGTTTATGAAATGTATTAATTTGAAAAATAGACCCAATGCTTTACCACAACTTATTAACTCATGAGTTGCCATAATGCACATTTATCGATCTGTGATGAGTCAATATTGTCTGATATATTATATATAGCAAATATCTGAAAAGGTAAAGGGACACTGACCTACTACATTTTTGAATGTCATTTAAAAAGAATTAATAATATATCATCTTCTTTCTCTGGCAATTCTTGTCAATATTGTTATTTCATGAATTTATAAATATTTTTAAATAATTCTTTATATAAATATGTTTTTGTATCCACTATAAAATGAGGGATTTTGAAGCTATTTTTCATATTTTGTCAACTCAGCCCACCAGAGATTTTCCAAAACCCGAGGACCAGATTTGTTTGTGTGTGTGAGCTGATATTGCATTAGTTAAGCTGAACACTGTCAGCAGAATATTCACATCACACCCACATCAGACCCACACCTGATGTAACCAAAGGAGCTAATGTGAGACTCCTTCTGGAGAGGAAACAGCTCAGGGTGTTTATGGACAGTTCCACCAGTGAATCGAGTGGATTTTGTCACACCATTACCTCCAGACGAGAATATC